TTCTGCTTTGTCTAAGGATGGTATCAAAAAGTAGTCTAAGTGGTGAGAAAGTTGTGCTTAATGATAATTAAGTGACTTAAAAGTAAAAAGAGATGCTTCATATTGGTTGATTAATTTTAAAAACTAAGTTATAAATGCAGACGCGATCGCTGCCATAAGCGCTCCAGGCAGTAGAACGTTCGTTCTGATTGGGGAAAAAAAGACCGGCTGATCAGTTTCACACACCAGGAAGAGAAAAGAATGGGATTTTTTCTCTTGGAAACGTGTGTTGTTTTTATGAAATTCGTGTATTTTAAATGTTTAATTAAAAAGTAAAAACCTTACAGCGTACACAAAGATTCTGAGCTGATCACGAGAAAGAAAAATTACCCATTTTTCGTGCATAAAAAGTGGTTTTTAACTCTCGAAACCTGTTTTTATGTTTTAAAGTCGTGCAATGTCTAAGTTAAGCAGGAACACATCATTATATCTCATTTTTGATTTATTTTTTTAAAATTTTAAAAATCGGTTGCCCAGCCTACTATAAAGTCTCAACTTATAGCAAAACAATGTACCAAAGAATTTTTCCCCATAACGTTTATGTAAATATGCAGGGTTTGGGACTGTAAGAACTGAAACTATGCCCATGCAACATAAAGCAGGAGGCTTTACCAATAAGAATTAATGGAATAAAGCGGTAACATACCAAAAATGAGAGTGCTTGTTTAATAGTGTCCCATTATAAGTCCATGTTACTTTCCTAAATAATGCAACTTATAGATAAATGACTTAGGGAAATAAATGTCCATTAAGAATACTGTAACTGGCTTGAGATACGTTCACAACATATAGTTCAGACACAGGTATATACAGTACAGTACATTTAATGTTCCAATAAAAATAAATAGAAATAGAGTCACCAACTCCTTTTGATTTGTGGTCTTATCTTTTGGTATCTTGAAAAACAACATAAGTGCAGGGATTTTATTTCCTTGAGTTCCTCAATTCATCAACTAATAACAGAGAGTAAAGAGAGGTCCTGGTAGAGGTCTGTCTCTCCTCAGAGCTGCCATTCACT